TCGCCGCTAGAAGCTATTTAATCTTTTGCTTGCGTTTGCTTGCGGAGAGTAAATTGCGGTGCACTTATGGGAAACTCCTAATCTAGTCAAAAATGCTTGGAATAGGCTAAAACGAAACTGCGAACCATTATCAGTTAAGATTACTTCGGGAACTCCGAAGGCAAAGAAAACCTGGTTCTGCAAAAAGTCGCAAATCTTATTGGGGGTGAACTTTTTTAAGAGATGGAGAAAATTGAACTTCATATTATGGTCTACAATTATTAATAAGCCTATCTTACCGGCTTAAATCTAGGAAATGGCCCCAATAAGTCCATGTACAGCTTCTGAAAGGGTCTCTGGAATTCCATTGGCTTTCCTATTGGAGGTCGAATAACTGTGTTGGAACTTTTGGTAGCGAGACACACACAGCACTTTCTAACAAATTCCCTAGTATCGGTAAACATTCGTCGCCAAAATAGGTAACACCTTAGTTTCTCTACCAACTTTCCTATGCCGCAATGGGCAACATCTGGTGCGTCATGAGCTCGGTATAGAATTTGTTGTACCAAGTCATTGGGAATCCATAGCTTCCAGGATTATTGTTCTTGCTTTGAGTCTCCTGTTGAGTTTTCGGTTCTCTTGTGAACAAATTTGTCCTTCATGTTTTCAATAAGATCGGTAAACTGCAAGAGTAAAAATTCCTTTGCAGTTAAATCTACTATCGGACTTAAAGAGTCAAACTCGTTAGCTTCGGGTCCATTTACTCTGCAACAACGATTTGCGTCCCCCTGTGATGTGCTATAAGAAACGAAAACCCTTGCAATTTTATAGCCCATCTGGGCGTAAGAGTGGGCGTGGCAAACATTTTTTGGGTCAATCGATAGATATAGACGAGACCAAAAAATTTCAGTTAAAATTTTTTTTTGCGCTACAGGCTTAGGCGGTTTTTTGGCTTTAGAGTGGGCGTGGCAAACTTTTTTTGGATCAATCGATAGGTATTTACAAGACTAACAGTGAGCATGGCACCTTGCTGAAACAAACTTGCGCTGCGCAAGAAGCTCAGGAATCTGCATGCCAAGTCCCAATAGCCTAGCTTTTATAGTTTCCGAGATCTCAGCGTTCATACGGACAGACTGACCGATGGACATGGCTAGATCGACTCGGCTAGTGATCGTGATCAAGAATATATATACTTTATGGGGTCGGAAACGCTTCCTTATGCCTGTTACATACTTTCCGACGAATCTAGTATAATCTTTTAAGGTGGGCCTCTAATGGTTGTTAGGTAGAACAGGCCGTTTAGTATGGGAGTTAGATGGCGCTTTCACATTCTCCTCTAAGCCCTTCCGACTATGGCAATATTGTAGTCTATTCGTATCGCCCCAAAGGAATTCCCTGTCCGACTATTGGTTGTAATAATTTTAATGTACTTTAGTGTACCATGTATTTGAATCGATGTAAATTTGAAATTTCAAAGGATCCGAGGCAGTTTTATAAGTTTATTAATGCTAAGTGAAAGTCTTCAGCATTGTCATCATCAGTACGATTACACTCTATTGAGGCATCTACGGATCCCGAAATTGCAGATTTATTTGCTGAATTCTTCCAATCTACTTACAGTTCTGTTTTTTGGTCTGAGTGAGTCCCTCAGGGCAGTCATTTAGGCCCTTTGTTGTTTACTCTGTTTATAAATGATCTTCCCTCTATCGTAACTCAATCTCGTGTTCTAATGTATTCTGATGATGTTTAGCTTTGTTTATCATATAATAATATTGAGTCTGGTTTCTGCTTGCAGTCAGACATTAATAGATTCCAGGAATGGTGTCAGCACAACCTTTTGAATTTAAACAATCTTAAATGCAACGTTATGACTTTTTATAGGGGTACGCCAACGTTCTTGAGTTACTCTCTTTAGAACATGTCTCTGGACCGAATATACTCAGTAAACGATTTAGGTGTTCTCCTAGATCATAAACTTAAATTTGACTCCCACATAACCTCTACTGTAAATAAAGCTATTTGTGTTCTTGGGTTTATAAAGCGTTTCTCTATAGAATTTGATGATCCATACTCTACAAAATTATTATTTACCTCCCTTGTCCGTCCTTATTTAGAATACTGTTCTTCCGTTTGGAGTCCTCAGTATCAAGTGCACATCGACCGTATAGAGTCCGTACAGAAACAATTTCTTATTTTTGCCTTACGTGGTTTGAACTGGGATCAAAATGTCAGGTTGCCTTCTTACTCGAGTAGATTGCTATTAATTAATTTGCCTACTCTCGTAAGCCGTAGAATTAAGCTTGGTACTATTTTTATGAATAATCTTATCAGAGGCGATATTGATTCTGTAGATTTGGTAAGCCGCCTAAGTTTCAATGTTCCTGTTAGACTAATGCGAAACTACCATCCTATTAACTTGCCACGATGTTCACCTAATTTTAGTCAGCATGAGCCCCTTCGCGTTCTTTCTAATAATTAAAACAACCTGTATCATTTAATTTGTTCCTCAACTTCTATCCCTGTACTAAAAACTAAAATCTTAGCTCATTTGCTTTAATCTTGATGATCTATGTTTTGTCCTGTCTTTATTTGTTCTATGTACCTTCCTCGCGAACCGTATTTGCCCGAAATAAAAATGGGCCCGCGCGTAACAAGCACGTGCTTGGTGTCGTTTGGGCCACTTGTTTGTACTGCTCTTAGTGCATCAACGTTCAACAACAATTAAACAACAATTTAAATTATTGATTATTTCATTTAGACTTTCAGTCTGACTCGTTGTTGGATTTAAGGCTTGCATTTTTGTTTGAAATGACTTTAGATTTATTTCACACTGATTTTTACTCTCTTTAATCAAAACATAATTACAGAATTGTTCAAAATTAAATTTGATTTTGATGTGTTTTTTTTGAGCTTCTTGGAGTAGAGTGATCACTTGTTCTTTGTTTGATTGTTGAAATAAATTGATATCCAAGCATTCTTTATTTGGATTTGTGATTATATAAGTTTCAATACGATTCCGAAATGCACTTCTTTTACACCGCAAGTTATCACTTATTTGCGCACCAGATAATTGTTTATGCAAGTTGGTGCGTAAGTGATGCGACCAACTAATTTTAGCAACATTTAGATTACTGACATCACAATATCGTATTTCACTAGCGTCAGAATTTGTGTTACTAGACCCAGGATTGTTATTGTTATGTAAAGCATCAGCCATTTTTGTTTTTGTTTTGTTTTAAATATTAATTAAAAAAGTTTATTTTATTTTTTTTCTTATTCGTTACAAAAATTTAAAATATAATTATCCCCTTCTGATTTAAGTTTGACTAGCTTGTAGCCCTCCGTCGCCATGTGCTCCACAGCTTTCGATGTCAGAGTACTAAAGCGTTCTGGTAAGAACACCACAAAATCTTCAAATGTGAGCATAATTTTATCGCCGAAGCGTGTCCGCTTCACTTCAGCGTTCTGTATCACAATCGGTGTGTCAAACGGGAGAGCCTTAACACTCTCAATTGGGGGTAGAGAGACGGCCCCAAGCTCGTTAAACTGTTCTCCAAAGTCAGACATGTTGCTGCTGCTTATAATGCTGATGATGAAGGATTCTTCAAATAGTGTGAGTGAGTTCTTGCTCTGAATTTGACTTCTGCTTTCTGAATTACTCCAGTACTATACATCTCATATTTATACCAGTTTTCGAGACGAAAAAAAAATCTGAAAAGAAAGAGAGATAAATACTTATGTATATTTAAATAAAATAAATACATGTGGTAAGCGATAACAACATTATATATATATACACACAACAATGTTTCACGATAACAAAATATACATACATAACTTTTAAACGAGAGTGAGAGGACAAGTGGAAGGGGAAGTGGGAGGGGAGGGCGGAGTGGGCGCTATCGCAAACGAGAGTGAGAGTCCGAGGACAAGCGGGAGGGGAAGGGGGGTTTAGTGAGCGCAACTCCCCAGAGGGTCAAGCACCAGGACAAGCGGGAGGGTAAGTGGGAGGGGAAGTGAGCGCAACCCCCCAGAGGGTCAAGCACCAGGACAAGCGGGAGGGGAAGGGGGAGGGGAAGTGCTTCCACAACAACAACTTCCGCTCGCGATAAGCGCCCCCGCACAAGCGAAAAAGTGATTCAGAACATACAATAAAAAAGTGATCCAGAACATACAAACCCCCCATTGATCCAGAACATACATATCCACCCTACTAAGCTTGTTGGGCAGTGTGGGCTGATGACTGATGAACTTGATGACTAATATTATTTTCCAGGCACTTTTAATATTTATTCTCGTTATGTTGGAGAGGAGAGAGGCTTACCAAGATCCTACGACCCGAATACGACGTAGCTTATGCCGGCAAATGGTGCCTGAACATCGGACGCCTCTCCCTCGGCCCAAGTCCTTGCCAGGACTCGGGCACTAATATTCCCACGTAACATATCCCACGGAATCCTCCAGTTTTATTGCATTTCAAATATTGTGACCCCTCGTTATCTTCTGAGAATAAGCAGGAGAAAGTGAACATGCGATCCCACGAACCCGAATCTCGCCCCTTACCCTCGAGTCCATACTCATGACTGCTTGTGCGCGAAGGTGTCAAATTTTATTTTGATAAGTTTTGTTCAAAATGTGAGCTTGAAAAATGCTTTCCAATGACACCAAACTTTTTTTTCACTTTTGCCTGAAAAAGGCAAAAAACGACGATGCCCGCCGATAAAGTAATTAGTATACCCCCTCACTAAAAAAAAGGTTGGTGTCATCGGAAAGCATTTTTCAAGCCCTTTCTAATGGTATAATTTGACAAAACCAAACTTATAAAATTAAAATTTCACACCTTCGCGCACAAGCAGTCATCAGTAAGGACTCGAGGGCAGGGGTGAGATTCGGCTTCGTGGGTACGCACTTTCACTTTCTACTGCTAATTCTGAGAAGATAACGAGGGGTCACAATATTGAAAATGCAATAAAACGGGAGGATTATGGGATGTGTATACGCTTGCAATTAAAAACAACTAATACAAAATACATTTAAAACCGCCGAAAAACACCTCCGCAACCGCTTTTAATAGCTACTGTCATATACATTTGTCCCTTTATAAGCCACTAAAGAATAAGCCGAACAATGCAATGGAATAATCGCATAACTAAAAAAACCTCACCACAGGCGGCACCGATGACTGGTCTGCATCTTGGACTTTTTATCGCAGCCAAACTCCGTGGAAAACTCCTGAAAGTTTCCCAGTGTCTGAATCACTCGCAACTCATTGACGGCGTGCTTTAGATGAGTTTCCGACTGTGACCCCTGGCTAAGTAAAGGTGTTTTGCCACAGAAGAATTGAGCGAAGCTGATGAAAAATAGCTGCCGCTGGCTGAACTGCGGCATCAGCGGATCGCGCCCTTTTATGTCAGCCCGCAAGCCAAAAAAGGATTCATATGAAAGGCGCAGAGCCACGAAGTCGGCCAGCTTCTCGTCGATCCAGTTGGGGCCTGTTCCCATCTGCTGCTGCAGGCAGTTGAACCCTTGCCGGAAATGCTTGTTAGCCCCAATCTCCTCTATCGGCCCCATGATGTTTCCCAAAGCGTCATAGTCCATTCCCGTAATGTCGAAGCCATGAGCCAATTCATGGGCCAAGGCGAATCCTATTACGGCATGCTGCTGCAGGTCGCTGATGTTGCGGTGCCATATGGGCATCTGAAGCAGACCGTGGGGCACTAACACGAGGTTGCGGGGCCTTACATACAGTGGCGACGAGTTGCTGGCCTGCCAGTTTTCTGCCAGATAGCTGACGTCGCTGTTCGATGAATTCGTCGAATTCATGAATACCAGATTGTGGTTTGCCTCCACACGTTTGCGTAGTAGGAACAGCTGATTTCCATAGAAGGAATGGCCACTCAGGTCGATATTGACGTGGTACTGCTGCAAGTTTTCCGCTTCATCCGGCTGGAAAAATCCCAACTGCAGGTGCACTGCACGCAGTTTCTGGTGCAGAATGAGCAAAAGGGGCGACGACAATCTAAGCCGGTTCTCAGCCAGAATTTGGGTGAAGCGTGCCTTAAGGCGCTGAAACAGAGAGCGGACGTCAGACTCTGAGTCTGGGTGGGAGAACTGCTGACCAACTAGCCAGCTACTCGCCAAGGGCATAGCCCTTCTGAGGCTGGCAACGCACTCACTCCGCGAGATATGCGCTGGACCCTGTTCTTTGAGGAAGGTCAACCACTTGAGCATAATATAGCTGCATACGGTTTCCGGTTCTTCAGAATTCATTAGGTCGGACAGGGCTCTAAGGTAAGGAATGTTCTCGATGATCAGTGTGGAGTGCAGATCCAACTCGATATCGGTCCGCACCTGGCGCATGAAAGACAACCATCGGAGCTGAGGCAGATACGTTTCAAGGTAGCCCAGTTGCATTTCCCGAGCACCGAGCTCGTCGTCCTCCAGCTCCTGCAGGCGGTGCAATTTTTGCTCAAAGTCGTTCACCAGGCGACCCAAGGCGTTGGCCGTGCGTTTGGTTTGTCCGATGTCCAGGAGCAGTTCGATCACAGCGCCCTCACCCATGGGCAGCGTCTCCTGGCGACTCGGTTTGTTCACATAAATGCAGTATGTGCGCGAGTCGTCCCACCGCGGCAAGACATCCTCCCTCACTAGCACCCCGTTCAGTCCGTGCAAACGCAGTCGCCCCAAGGTCAATATCCAATCGAACCGCTCTGGACGCCAACCACGACCCGCAGACGGCCATTGGGTGCCATTGCTTGGCGACAGAATCAGCAGAAACTTTTTTATGTTGTACGGCCTAAGGCGTTTGCAAGAACGGTAGTAACGGCGCATCTGTTCCAAAATCGTGGAGTCTATTTCGGAGGAGCTCTTGTTTCTGCGCCTCAGCACACTTTCGAGTTTCCGGTTAACGGATTGGTCGATCAGTCCCAAGGTATCGCTCGGTATCAGTTGCCCGTGGAATGGAGCCCTATCCATGACCCTCTGCCCATCGCGCGGAGAGTGCTGCTCCTGCTGCTGGATCTGCCAGTTTCCACAAGCGTACTGGTAGAAGTTGTCGCATGGATGCGTCTTTAGGTCCATGTAACTCTGCAATTGCTTGGCAATAATTTGCTGGACATTTTGGGATGCGTTGGTCTGGCGACAGGCGGTGGGGGTTGATCGCCATGCCAGAGAAAAAATGAACAAAGCTACCAGGCTGAGCTTCAGCATGATCGCTTCTACTGTGACAAAATGTAACTGACCACCAGACAACGCTTCACACGAACGGATCACCCGGAGAAGGCGGACTACAGCTGGCCTTCACCTGTCAGTCATCATCGTGGAAAGAGCAGTGGATTGCAAGCATCAAATAATTTGATTTTCCCATAGTACCAGAACATTTACAATAAATATGATAAAAAGTTATAAATTATTTGCTATTATTCTAAAATATATTAAACTGTTAAAGCCGATAGCAGACTTACATTTTTAGCTGAAGTTTGGCTTGAGAAAGCCTAAAGCTACTCTACTTAGCTGGATAGGTCGCACTTTGATTAGGCAGAACTATACGCTTATCAGTCTCACCTTGGCCTTGATTCCCTTAATTTGGTTGTTGCGGCTGACCTACAACAAGCACAATTGGTTTTATTGAACTTGCCTCATGCTAATAACTTCGCCTCTCTACTTTTAGAACCGAAACGATTACAGGGCACCCAACGTACAAGGCGACCATGCGACTGACGATCGCTAATGTTCAAAGCAGCGATTATGGCAACTATAAGTGCGTCGCCAAAAATCCTCGGGGCGACATGGACGGCAACATAAAGCTTTACAGTAAGTCCCAAAATTTTTGTTTCATTTATATCCTTAAACAGCATAACTTTATACAGCACGGGATTACGGGGCTGGAAATTAGAAACTTGAATACTTTTGCGGTTTATTTATGGCGTCCACTGATGCAGTTTATTATTTTTGTTTTAAAAAAAAAGCCACTAAACAGGTCAACTTTCGTAGTTATACCCGTGATTCGTTAAATAAACGGGTATAGAAGATTCGTCGGAAAGTATATAACAGGAAGAAGGAAGCGCGTTCGACCCCATAAAGTATATACATTCTTGATAAAGATAACTATCCGAGTCAATCTTACCATGTCCGTCTGTCTGTCTGCCCGTATAAACGCTGTGATCTCGGAAACTATTACTGCGTTTATGCGATGGCCATTTCACGATTTCATTTCATGAAATGGGCTGATTCGTGTGTGCATAAACACCGTTTCATGAATTCGACAACACACGAAAGTTGACCATAAATTCAACCTCAAAGCGTGAAATAGTGACAATTTGACTCCGGTAACTCTATATAATTATCTTAGTTGCCAGATCGATATAAATACATAAATAACTATTACACTTAACAAATTATTTTATTTATATATTTTTATATTATTATATAGTTATTTAGTGCCAGTGGAATCTAGTTTTCATCTTTTATTGATGGTCGAAAAAATGTTATACTGGCTTGCACACACTTTATCTTTAATACTAGCGAGATTATTTCATGCGAATCAAACAAAAGATCGGTTTAATAATCGCTCACACCTTTTCCCAATGGTCCGGCATCTCTGTCAACTGAGATTGATAAAATGCAGGAATTCGGCCGTGTCGCATAAATAGAAGCAAATTTTATTTCACGCTTTTAAAAGATCATGAAACCCCTAGCATATACATAAAATCGATGTTTCTCAGACTATCACGATAACTCATTTCAGTACCAAACTTTCTTTTTTGCTTGTAGCTTACAAATATAAGTTCATCAATGGAAAACGGTTAGGCTATGAACACCCCTGAAGGATTTGTCAAATATCTCTGGATAGCATAAAAAAATAATAAATTACAAAATGGATTACATTTTTTTAAAAGTATTTTTAGGGTGGGAGTCGACCTTTTTATGAATTCGTTTAGCTTAATAGCCAATGCAACAACCCATGTAACCCTTGGCAGCAGCACTGATAAAAAATGCTGGATGTAGACAATGACAATGACCACAAAGGTACTTCTTTTTGGAAGGTTTAGGCCAACAAAATAATTGAAATAAAAAAATAAAAAAATATTAAAAAGACTGGATATATCGATTTGTTCGGGTGATAAATATTTTATCAATTTTATACATTTTTAAAAAACGTTTTACAACCCTACTGAGCATGCGAATCTGGGCTTCCTGCGCAGCGCAAGTTTGCTTCAGCAGGGTGTCACGGCCACTCTAACGCCTTTAATAGCCCCTGCACACAGCCGCTTAAAATCGCTGTTGATCGGCATAAGCAAACCGTATCCAAAGGGAGAACAAAATTGCAAAACAACGCAAAACTAAATTAATTTTGAACGCAAGATTGTGGAATGTTTTCATCCCCAAATCATTACAACATCTTTGGGAGTTGGATGTGCCAACATATGTATTTTCCATAAGCCTAGTACTCACATCGACGAAAGTCGCGAGCTAACCATAGGAGTGAGCAAGAGGCAAACAGGCGGCTAACTCTTTTCGTCGGGTCTGTTTTTCAGCGCGGTACTCAGATGAGCTAAGGAAATACCAGAAAAAATACCTGATTTAGCGAGTGAATTTCGATGAACGCCGTAAGCCGCGGCTCACAGAATAAGAAATTTAATCTTTGGAGGTGTTCGTGCAAACGCGTTATAGAAACAATACAAGTAAAAATGGAGTGAAAACCCCAAAAATGCCTGCAGGATGTTAGTGCAGATGAAAAAGGACGTCTAGTCCAAGCTGCGGCCCATTATTGTGGGACTTCACCGACTGGAAGCAACAGGGCAAATACGCAGAATAGTTGATGTGCTGGAGGAGATTTACTAGAATATACCAGTGGGAAAAACCTGCCGAGTGGGACTTCGCTCCCTATATGGACATCCTACCGGGCGTGTCCTCGCAAAGAATGTTAGTTCTGGCAAAAACAGTTTTGCAACATTGTACTTATAGAAGTATATTTTCAGCAGAACCACCAGAATACACCAGTTAATTGTGAAATTCAGAGTATTTCCAATGAGTTTTCACTTATGAAAATAAAGAATTTAAAATACATACATTTTTATTTACTTTAAAATTTATTTTATTTAAATTGTGATACTTAGTTTTTCCGTTAAAGGACAGTTCTTGTTAGAAAGCCTAGTTATACCCGTTACTCGTAGAGTAAAAGGGTATACTAGATTCGTCGGAAAGTATGTAACTGGCATAAGGAAGCGTTTTGGACCCCATAAAGTGTACATGTTCTTGATCAGGATCACTAGCCGAATCGATCTGTCCATGTCCGTCTGTCCGTATCAACGCTGAGATCTCGGAAACTAGAAGAGCTACAATACTGGGATAGGACATGCAGATTCCTGAGACTCCTGTGCAGCGCAAGTTTCTTTCAGCAGGCTGCCACGCCCACTCTAACGCCCACATTTGTATACCTACCTTTTAGAGCTGTGTATAACCCTCTGCGGGATTTTTATTTGCACAAAAGATTTCAGCATCCACTTTCGGCTAACAGAACCCATAAAATACTTTCAAAATGTATGCACTTTAAACTTAAATCAATGCACAACATCTTAAACTTAACGTAAAACTTACCTGACTTTATTATATTAACTTAAAGTAAGCATTAAAGTAACTCTGCTGTGCACAATTTAAATGGATGCTTCCTTTACAATAACTCAACCAGAATGCATCAAGACTTCTTCTCACCCCTTTACTTAATTTCTTTTGTTTTCTCTTTGCTGTTGGCGGGTGCCACTGTGAAGGTGCCTTCTCTAAAGTGAAAATATCCGACTATTTAATTTGTACTCCTTGAGTATGAAATACAATAGGAATTTTTTAAAAATGTTAATAATAAATTGTTTTAAATATTTAAATCAATTTAAACGGATTAAATTTCTAAAGTTAAACAAAAAAATTATGTTGTTATAATAATAATACGTTGTAACGCCCTAAATCGAGGGCGCACAAATCCCACGAGTCGTGACGAGGATCATATTTAGTTTATTGTAATCATAGTCATAGTTTCGCTATTAGCTTTAAGATCGGACATGAAGTTCCGTGCTATGAATTAAGATAATAGGAACTAAGGCAGTACCAATCTAGACTCTGAAGAGTAAAGACGTGCTATATACCACACCGCGAGAAAAAGCACCTTTCCAAACACCCAAATTCATCGTCATTAAAAGAAAAGACAACATCGCATCCTTTGAAAAAGTTAGTCCATTCATTATCAAAAAAGTTATTGACTATACATGCTGCGGGGAAGTAACGTCAGTTTCAAAAACCAAAGCAGGTACTCTTCTTGTCAAAACCAAAGACCGACTCCAAGCTCAATGGCTAATGAAACTCACCAAATTCCACGACTTTGAAGTTGAAGCATCTGAACACAAAACACTTAACTTTTCAAAAGGAGTCATCTATTCCAATGACCTCCGATACATAAACAATGAAGATATTCTCAATGAACTCAAGACGAAAAACGTCACTGAAGTAAATAAAATACTCAGAAAGAAAGACAACAATCTTGAAGAAACCGGACTCATCATTCTCACCTTCGCCACCACCACCTTACCCGAAACCATAAATATTGGATATGAACGTGTCAAAATTCGACCACACATTCCTCGACCTCTTAAATGCCGAAACTGCCAAAAATTTAATCACCCCACCAAAGCCTGCAATAACGAGAAAACTTGCTCAAACTGCTCTGAAGTTCACTTTCCCGACGACGAAGACTGCACCAAGCCTAAATTTTGCATCAACTGCAAACACCTCGACAACCCTCATCACAGCTTATTGGACAATAAGTGCCCAACATTTATTAAACAAAAAGAAATAATGGCTATAAAAACAATAGAAAATGTTGACTTCAAAAGCGCATCAAAAATATACATCCAACGTCACTTCCACAAGGCCACTCCTTACTCCCAAGTTGCAGCACAACCCCCATCAAATTCTATCGCCCCAGTTCTGGATAAATCGAATACTCGTGAGATCACGACCTACGACGACATCATGGAACCTACCCCACAAACTCCAAGCGAGGACGACATCGAAATGGATACAACAGAATCTATCAGAACCAGTAAAAACACTACAACCTCAGACCGCACTCTCAGAAGCTACAACAAAGAAAAAACCAACCCTCTGGCTATACCCCTAAAGGCTAAAAGCAAAGCAGACAAATCGAAAACAGTAAATACAAACCAACTAAAACACTCGAAGTAACCCA